GTAGGTGAAGAAGTTATTTAGCGTCTCATTCAAAATATCCCCTCAAAAGCGGAAGTCGAATAGCAATGAGCACCGGAGAACAACACTAGCGACGACGGAGGTGAAGTCTAAGAGCAAAGTCGAAGTCGAAAAGAAGAAATGGTTGAGTGAAGTCAAAGAATCGAACCTGCAAATGAATTGGATCACAAGCAATCAATTAGATAGGTTAATTTCTACCACAAATCCACCGCAAAGTGTATCAAATATTTTTTGCAACAAATTTCATAGCAAATACATCGACATTTTTTACAAGAAATTTTCAGTGGTGAAGTCTACCACAAACTATTGACTTTCATGTGCCTGACTTGACTCATTAGCTCGCAAGTCGGATCATTTAAAAAACATTAATATAAAATGGGCTTAAAATATACTAACATTCATAATTTTAAGTACATAGTTATTAATTAAAAATACAAAAAAATACATCTACTTATATTAAGTGATTTTTTATTTATTTATTTTTCCACAAATTTTCATTCTTTTTATTATTATTATAATAATTACTTGAATCATAATCATTTTATCTATTTCATAGTAACTAAACCAGCTGAAACTTGTAGTAGTACATGAGCTGGCTTGAACTTGAAGAATAAAGCCTGAGCTCGAACTCAATTAATTAATTAAGCTCAACCCTGACGTTAATTGAGCTCGGCTGAACTCGTTCATGCATGTATTTAAAAGCATTATAGTAATAAATTATTTTTTTAATTGATGTTGCTAGCCTTTTAAACCATTATAATATTTATCCTTCATAATTGAAGATATTTTAACCCCTTAAATTTGCCCAAAATTGAAGCACTTGAGGCCATGGATATATCTAAGAATTATTTAACACCGCAAAAGTATTTTACTATGATGCAGCTGCTTCGACAATTCCAAAATTATTGTGAAAGGCCATTTCACAGAAATACAACCATAGTGATAAACATGTGCAATCATTTTCACAATAATTCCATGACAAAAGATTTAAAAAATTATACTTGATATATCATCAAAAAATTATCATGATCGAGCATGGATCAAGAGGCAAATTTTAATTAGAAACTTTCAAAATTAATTTGAGAGCTATCTGAACTCTTATTTCAACAGGCTTATAGTCGAATTGAACATATCAAGGAGATGAACCCAACGATGCCAAAATCGGTTCAATTTGAACCCAAATTGGTCCAAATAGAGAGCCCAAAGCCTCCTTAGAAACTTCATAATATCAATTAGATAACCAAATGATATCCAAATGTTACATGTTTATAGTCAAATCAAGCGGCTCGATGAGATGAATATAACGAGCCCAAGTTCATCGAATTTTGATATAATTAAGACACTCAAATGCTTGTTAAATGTTCCATGATCAAGGGAGTTGTATTGCTCGTCCATTGAAACGCTCTTAACATGCCCTTGATCTTCTCCCTATTTACTTATTATGCCACTCCTAAGAAATTATAAATTGACCCCTCATTTCACAAATGGGGATAAGAAGAAGATATGAAAATGAAGGATCTTTCTTACTTTTTAAAGCTTGTACCGCTAGGCCGCCTATCGCTTCTTTGACTTTCACTTAGCCGCCGACCGTCACTAGACTTCCTTCCAAACACCGTTACCCAACTACGGTACGTCCTTTCGAACACCGTTACTCACCCACTACGATCCTTATAACTACCATCGACCGACTACGATTCTTCTGACCACTATCACCTGACTACAATCATTCCAATCACTATCTCTAGCCAATTATAATCCTTTCGACCACTGTTGCCAGTTGACTACGATCCTTCTAACCATCGTTGCTTGTCGACTATGGTCATTCAGACCACCGTCGCTCGTCGAATACTATTATTTTGACCTCTGTCACCCGATTGTAGTCCTTTCGACTTTCATCGCCCAACTAAAGTCCTTATGTCCTCCATCGCTAGACTACGATCCTTCCGATCACTATCATCATACTATGGTCTCATGCCAACTCAGTCCTTCTGAGTCCTTCCATCCTCCGTCACTGGACTACCATCCTTCCAACTTTCGTCATCTGACTACAATTCTTCCAGCCACTACCATTTAACAATGCTCCTTCTGACCATTATCTCTTGCCAACTCTGATCCTTCTGACCACTTTTTCCTCGTGACTATAGTCCTTCTGAATATCATCTCTCATTGGATACGATATTTTTGACCTCTTGGCCTGACTACGGTCCTTTCGATCTTTATCGCATGACCATGATTTTTTCAGACCTATGTTGTTTGATTACAATCTGTCCGACCACCGTCGCTTGTCTACAATCATTTTAACCACTATCTAGGGGTGTCAATTTTTGACATGACTCGAAACCCGACCCAAAAAAATCTGGGTTCGGGTCGACCCGTTTTGTGAAACTGGTCGGGTTCGGGTTGAACAAATCGACCCATTTCAAAAATCAGGTTGGGTTTGGGTTGACCTGGCAACCCGAAAATGACTTGAAACAAGCAGCCCGCGCCTGCTACCTGCCCTGCTGTCGCTACGCTTGTTGCTGCTGCATTGCTTCGCAACTTCACGTGCTGCCGCTGCTTGACCTCGCGTCGCTGCTTAGCCGCTTCGCAACCCGCACTCGGTACCGCTGGGTACCGCTAGGTACCCAGTGCTTATGCAAACGATGCGTACTCCGCACCTAATAATTTTTCCAGCTGAAGCCATCCAAAAATCACCTTGGACCCAACCAAATACCAACCCAACTGAGAGTCTGAAATCCATGAACAACCTTAAACATCAATCTAACAACCGACCAACTCCAAAAAAAAAAATCAGCAAAAAAAACCCTCCAACAGAACCAAAGATAAAAAGATAAAATGAAACCAACATAGGCATTTTAGGCGCAAAGAAACCCCCAAACCAACTCCAATCTCCAGGATCAATAAAAAGGGAAAACTTTCAAACAACCCCCAAATAATCTCACCTTTGGTTGCCGAATCAGCCCACCCAAAAAAATCAGGTTGCCAATCCAACCATCCAAAAAGAGCAAAAGGAAGATGCCCATACATTATAGTCCAACCGAAAAAATAAAAAAAGAACAAGAAGAAAAACTCCATTAATCAATTAGATGCTGAATAAGGGAAAAGACAACCCAATTAATGACTTTTTTATTGGGTTTAACACGAACATCAAACCTTATTATCTTACAAATATAATCCATGCTTTCGAATTTATTCTCCTTTTCTTTTTTTTTTATTAAAAAAATCAGGAAAAAATACACGAATACTTTTTTATTAAAAGTTTTGTGAAAGAAAAGACAAGATATAAGTAGATCTTCAATTGGAGAGGAAGAACTAACTCTCTCAAATCTCTAGGGGCCGGCTGGAGCCCAAAACACTCTAAAAATAATCTAATTCCAATAAATAATATTAATTTCTAACTAAAAAAAATCACATGTTTAAACAAATAATAAACAATGACCAAAAAAAAAAATTAGAGCTGCGCCCAACGGACAAATTTGCAAGGGAACTGGAGGGATGCCCTAGCCGCCTTCTCCCTCTCCGCTTTCCTTACCTGTTTCTCCTCCGCCTGGCATCACCGGCCTTCTGCCGGTGGTTTTCATGGATCTCCAAGACGCCTCCTTGTTCCCTCCCATGGCTCATGCATCCTCTTCTGCTGGGCCTCCTGCCCCTCGCATGTTAGATCACCTTTGGTCTAACATCATCGCCGCTCCTGCTCCCACTGCTCCGCACATCCCTGTTTCTCTCATGGAAACCCCGGAGGAGGTGATTCCTTTTGATGCTGATTTCACTGGACCTGCTGCTGCAGAATGGGATCTTTGCTTGGTGGGGTATTCGATCGGTAAGCGTCCCTTCTATGAGGCTCTTAAGGAAACAACTAAAAGGATTTGGAAACTCAAAGGTTCTTTCCAACTGATAGCCCTTACGGATGGTTCCTTCTTGTTTAAGTTTTCTCTAACTGAGGATTTTGACATGGTTTGGTCAAAAGGAGCTTGATTTTTTCATGGAAAACCATTTATAGTGCAAAAGTGGACAAAAAATTTTAATCCTACTAGGGAAAATTTTTCTTCTGTTCCTGTCTGGGTTAGAATCCATAAACTTCCTTTAGTTTGTTGGAATTCGGAAGGGATATCTAAAATTGCATCAAAAATTGGCATATCGATTGTTGTAGATGCGTTAACAGCCGCTAAAACTAGACTAACATATGTTAGGGTATGTATACAAGTCTCTACTTCCTCAACCTTTCCTGAAACTGTTGCTGTTGCCAATGAAGGAGATGTTATTAAGTTACAAATACAGTATGAATGGAAACCGGTTCCTTGTACTACTTGTGCTTCTTTAGCTCATGCTTCCACGAATTGTCCCTCTGGTCTTCCTTCTGAGCAGATTTCTCAACCTCAGTATAGGGGTTGCAGCTTTTCTAGGGGGCAAAGAAATAAATCTCACTCTCTCTCCAAGCCTCCGGTTCACAATTTTGACAAAGGGAATTCCTCTTTAGCTCATCCGCCTACTTCTATTCAAACTCAAAATGCTTTGGGATCGAATATCAGTCTAGTCCCGTCTCAGGTGATTTGGGTCCCTAAGGGTATCTCTGCAGTTAGACCTAATGTTGAGACTACTGCTATTCATGGCTCTTCTATTCCGCAGCTGACTGTCATTCTATCTTCTAATAATGTTGAAGCTACTGTTCAACCCCTTCTTAATTCTAATGCTCTTGATAGTTCAACTATTCCTAATCTCAACTCTCCTACAGATGAAGGCTTAGGGGATACCGTTTTTGGTCAGATCAGTATTCAGAACCCTCCTAGTGTCAAAACTAGTAACAAATACTCTTCTCTTCAAGGCTCCGATGACTTGGTGGTTACTAATTCTGATAATGAAGGCACTTCATTATCGGAGCAGACATCTAATACCAGTGGAGGGAAAAAATCCAAGGCCTCTCTTCCTAAAAATACCAAAGGGAAAAGTTCTAAAAAGCCACCTTCCACTTCTGCTAAACGTAAATGATCAGTCCTAATATAGCGGCGTGGAATATTAGAGGATTTTCTTCTTCTAATAAAGTGTCTTACTGCAAAATGCTTGTTCAGTCCTTACGGCTGGATATGATCTGTATTCTTGAGAATAGAATACAACTTCAGAGTCTTTCTGACTTGAATTTCTCTAACAGTCATCTGATTTTTGATATGGAAGCTAGCTGCCACAACTTCCATTGTGCCTCTCTGGGTCGTATCTGGTTAAAACGGTCTACTGATAGGCTATCTTTTCAGCCATCTTTCTTCTCGTCCCAAATGATTGTTGATATGGTTTATTTTGGTTCTTCCACTCCTTTTCTGCTTTATGTCATTTATGCTTCTAACAGTCAGGTAGAGAGGAAAGTTCTTTGGGATGGTATTAGATCTATCTCTCCTTCTGATAATGTCCCGTGGATCCTAATGGGGGATTTCAATACTTGCCACTTCTCTTCTGATAAGTTAGGTGGTAACCCACTTAATCAGAATCTCCTTAATGATATTAATAGTGTTATCTTTGACACTAATCTCAAGGATTTGGGCTCTATTGGTCCCTCCTATACTTGGTTCAATCAAAGGACGGATTGTCCAATTCATATCAAGCTAGATCGCATGATGGTTAATGAACATTGGGTTTCCTCCTATCCTGATTCCTTCTACTCTATCAACAGCCCTGCTGGGTCTGATCATTGTCCTATTTTTCTTAATTCTGGGAATTATTACTCTAAGAAGCATCGTTTCATGTACTAGAATTATTGGGGCAAAAGTGAGCAGTTCTGGATTTTATTGCTTAATATTTTTGCGGTTAAGGCTGTGGGTAACCCTCTTGTGAACTTTGCTAACAAGCTCAAATTGTTGAAAGAAAGTATTAAGAGGAAAAGGCGGGTTAATGCCAATGTTATGGCTGATCATATTAAAAACCTTCAAGCTAAGCAACTTGCTTGCCTTAGCCATCTTAATGATCAAGTCAATATTTGTGATTCTTCTATTAAGCTGAAAAATTTTAATATCCAGTTAGAGGCTGCCTCTTCTATGTGGTTTTCTTGGGTTAAACAAAGAGCTAAAACCAAATGGCTTTCCCAGGGGGAAGATGACCTCAAGTTTCTATACTCTAGGATTCGTTTGAGAAGGAGTTATAAAAAAACTGCTATAGCTTTAGCTATGTCTACCCCAGAGGTTTCTGTTTCTGAAGCTATCAAAGACTCCATTTCTTACTTCAAATCTCTTTTTAATGCTAATCAGCAGTTGGATTTCGATATCAATGATTTCCCTCCAGGTCTTGTGGTTGATCTAGATTTAAGAAATAATCTTACTACTCCTTTCATAGAAACTGAGATTAAGAAAGCAATCTTCAAAGGTTCCTCCAATAGCACCCCTGGGCCGGATGGGTTCAACTTTGAATTCTATAAAACTTCTTAGGTACTTATAGGGCCTTCTGTTTGCAATGCTATCAAAGGTTTCTTTCATAATGCTTTTATTCCCCGATCTATTAAAGCAGCAGCCATCATTCTTATTCCTAAATCTAGTCATGCTGAATCTATTGTTGACTTCCGGTCTATTGCTCTTTGCAATACCTCTTACAAAATTATTGCTAAATTATTGGCTGAGAGAATGAAACCTATCATGTCTAAAATTATCAAAGAGAATCAAGCAGGGTTTATTAAGAATAGAATATCCACGGATAATGTTATTCTTGCCAATGAGATTCTTCAATTTTCTAGGAAATCTTCTAAAATCAGGCTTATGTGTGTTAAGTATGATATTAAGAAAGCCTTTGATAGTGTTTCTAGACACTTCCTTCTTGCTAGGTTGGAGCAAAAAGGTTTCCCGGCTTCCTTCATTAAGTGGATTGAAGCTTGTATTATGGATGTCTGATTTTCTTTGTGTATGGATGGTACCTTGGAAGGGTTCTTCCAATCCTCCTCTGGGCTCAGGCAGGGTTGCCCCCTTAGCCCTTATCTTTTCAGTATTGTGATGGACGGGCTCTCTTGTCTTCTGGACTGCAATTGGCAAGAGGATTGTTTTGAGGGCTTCTCTTTTGGGAATTTTAGGCTGACTCACCTCTTATATGCTGATGATTTGATCATTTTTGGTAAAGCTGATATTGCCAATTGTAATAAGCTTACTTCTATTTTAGAGTGTTTCTCTAAAGCCACGGGTCTTCATGTTAACTTTCGGAAAAGTTCTGTTATATTACCCTCAAACTATATTAATTCTGAGGCTCTCTGCTCTGCCCTTAACATTCCCTCTGCTTCCTCCTTTATGACTTATTTGGGGATCCCTTTATCCCCTTTTCACCCGAAAATTGGCTGCTTTTCTAAGCTTATGGAATGTATTATTACTAAGTTGTCGGGATGGAAAGCCAAAGCTTTATCTCTTGCTGGCAGACTTCAATTCCTTAGATATACTATTTGGAACACTATTAGGTATTGGATTCGTGGTAGTATTATACCTAAAACCATTCTAAAACAAATTGAAAGACTATGTGCTAAATTCCTTTTCTTTGGGGATTTAAATAAGAAAAAAATGCATTTAATTTCATGGAGGAACACTTGCAAGCCTAAAGAATTGGGTGGTATTGGGTTACCCTCTTTGCAGTCTCTTCAATTTTGTTTTAACTGCTCTCTTATTTTAAGGATATACAATGGGAATAGTCCCCTGAGCAGTTGGCTGTTACACTCTTATTTCTCTCCTTGGAAAGACCCTATCTCTAAAGCTTCTAAATTCTGGAAGAACATTTGTAGGGATGCTATCAAAGCCAAAGTTAAATTTCATTTTAATGTTACTGTTAATTCTAATGTTTCTCTGTTCTGGGATCATTGGGTAATGATTTATGTATCAAGGATATGGCTTCCCTTCTTCCTCTTTTTAATGTTATTCATGTTAATGAGAGGGTGAATGCTATTATGGATGGGGATGTTTGGGCTTTGTCTGAGCTCTTACCGGCTGCTGTTCTGGAAACTCTTTATGCTATTCCTATTGTTTCTGATTCTCGGAACTCTATCTACTGGGGTGCGGATAAAATTTGTAAGCATAAGAATTATAGGGAATTTTATTATTCCCAGGAGGTTAAAGTGAATTGGTGGAAATTTGTTTGGCATAAACACTATATCCTGAGATATTCCACTTACTGCTGGATGGCTTTATCGGGTGACTTAAAAACTGCAGATTCTTTGATAGTGAGAAATATTTTTGTGGATCCTATTTGCTCCCTTTGCCACTGTCATGCTGAAACTGCCAGTCATCTCTTCTTTGAATTTGACTATTCTTTTTCCATACTTACTAAGCTGGTATCCAATATGGGGTTTTTATTGCTCAGGCCTAGTATCTTACAAATTTTCGAGTATATCAATGACACTCGTGATAAGCATAAAGATTTCTATTATCTTCTTATTTGCTCTTCAATTTACTTTATTTGGAGGGAACGGAACGATAGAAAATTTGGGGGCTCTTCTCTTTCTTCTACTTCTCTAATGTTGAAAATCAAAAGTGCTGTTTTCTCTAGAATTATGAAATGGAATTTTAGGGATATTTTGATGGAACTGCTATAAGGTTTCTGGATGGTTTTTGATGAAATTGCTGCTGGATTTAAGTTTTTCTGGTATGGTGCGGTTGGGTGGTGGCAAGCCTGAATCTGTATTTTCTCTGTTCTTACTGGGGGCTTTTATGGTGGCTGGGCCTATTTGTTGTTTGGCTAGTAATTGGGCTTATGTGGATTTCCGTTTAAAGGGGCAATGATGACTGGGTTGCCATTTTCCCCTTTGGATGGCAGGATTCTTTTTGCAACCAGGTTGAGTGAGCGGCAACTCCTGAGCCCGTGGCTACACTAATCTCCTTTGGTTTCTATGTTTTTCGTTTTTCTTTTGTATTTGATGCTTTTGGTTTATAGGTTTACTTTGTGGTTTCTCTCTCTCTCTCTCTCGCGATTCTCTGTTTCCCCTCTATCCAGCGATCCGTTGGTCCGTCCGCAGACCCAAATTTGAACTTCCGATGGGAAGGGACATGAATACGGAGGGTCTATGCATCATCTGCTCCGGCCTCGGAATCGCAGACGAGGACGATAATGGGAATGTGAGGGGTTACACGAAGACCGAATACTGCTTAGGTATGACTTGATAATGGTCTGATGAAGTTTATTTGAATTGTGTTAACGATCTTAATCCTGGAGGATCTTATTGTTCTTGGCATTTTCCTCAGATAATTTGAAGGATCTCCAGAGATTTCTGAGGAGGGATGATCCGCAGCGGAGGGATGTTTTCAAGCAGATCTGCAGATGGAATACGGTGTCCCGTGATATAGTACCTATCATCGAACATTACCAGGGTGATAGGAATTTGGTAATGAACTCAGGTACAAATCTTTCTTTTTTATTTTTCCTTGATGCTACTGAATTCAATTTATTTATGATTTTTCTTTGTAAAGGATTTATTTTCGCAACTGAAAAAAAAAAAAAACACTTACTGTGTTACTTTCACGGGCAGTGAAAATTTTGGTGTTCCTTACAATGCCACTAGACCCTGCTTCCGAGGAAGTGGCATTACAGATTGAGTATCTCTGGGAATTGAAAGCTGCGCTGACTCGCGAAGTCACGATGGCTGTAATAGTATCCCTCCTTGAAGAACCATTGGGTCACTTGGAAAGGTAAGCTACAAGCCTAATTTTTCTCCAATTTCTGTTTAACTAATGTTTAGGCATGGATTAAGATTCTAATTCATCCAACAGAATATAAATTTTCTTTATGACCTGATTGATCAGATAGTTCAACTTTGTTAATCCACTTATTTTCCACCTTTATCTTGGCGTGGGAAGAATTTTATTATGAATTCTTTAGGATTTACTAGAACCATTTCCTGTACCTAGCATGAACAAGTAGGATTTAGTAAATCATATAAATGCAAGCATAGCAAATCGTGTGGGCATTAACACCTAAAAATTATTTGAGAGAAAACGATCAAATCTTGTTAAAGCAAGAATAATTGTTTGACTTTTTGTTTCAAGATTTAAGATTTATGAGAGTAAAAAATTCTTAGATATGTTAAATTCTTTGAATGAAGGAATTTAACAAATATTGGAATTAACCAATAACATATTTTAAATGAATTTTGTCAAGTGATTATGATCAAGCTAAATCTTGCTTGAATTCTAATATACCGAACAATTCCTTAAGGTTTATCCATACTAAATAGCGATGAACATAATTCTAACTCGATCCTGGAGATCACTGATATTTATTGAGTCATTGGTATTGAACCAAACAACCCTTGGTTTCTTTAATCTAATAAACAGCTGCTCTTATGTCTTTATTTTTTTTGAATAAATGGTTTATAAGTTGTGGCCAAAGATGAATCTTATATGATTTAGTGCATTATTTCTTCTACTTTTTCTTGTCTTTAATAAATTTATCCCTTAAGAACCTTGTATTTTTGTTCAATATTTGAATGGAAAACAGCGGCACATTTACAGAGGATGACTGGAAGTTAGTTCAGCTTGTGCTTACATTGTTTCGCAATATCCTTGCCATTCAAGACATTACAGTTCAGCAGAAGGCATCTGGATATGCTACTCAGTATTTTCATTTGACAGAGAGGATTTTGGAACTCATGTTCCAGGAGAATATCATGGACCTGATTTTAGTTTTGGCACAGCATGTTGATGATCCCAATGGTTATCTTCGTCAAGACAATATACTTTTATTGGAGATTTTTTACTATATTCTGCTTGGACAAGAACCAGAATTGGTTGCAAAAACTTTCACCAACAACTCCAAGGTGTGTTCTTTTGTTGTTTCTCTGTAGGTGATTGCTTTTTTGTCACTTTGTCCGTTTGGAGTATGTTAATTGTCTAGAACCGTGAATTGATACCGCTGAGCGGCCAATAAATCAACCTTGACAAATGTAACTCACTTCTTTAGTTCCAAATAAAGGGTGAGTACCATTTTCTTCCACTTTCTTATGTAGATAACTATCTCAGAACATTCGCTGTTCGGTTAGAGAGATAATAACATAGAAATAAATTGTTGGTACTTGTCCATTGAACCAAAATATTAAGATTTTTAGTCATGATTCAATGATAAAAGTTCATTTACAAATTGTAGCTAGAAAATTATATATTTTACCTAATTTTAACTAATGAAAAGATAGTCTAGGTTGCAAGATTTCTTGAGCTTTTTTAGGATCAAACACATGGTCGAAACATATCCATTCAGCCATAGTAGGGATGATTAACCAAAATTGAGTAACATATTCATATTGGGTTAGCATGATATTTTTGATATTTTTCTAGGAAGTAACGCTATCAATAAAAGTTCATTTTACCAAGTGACACATGTTTTATATCTTTGTTCGGTCTTTTGCTACGAGGATGGAAAACATTTTGTCAAAAATTTTAATATAGTTAGCGAATTATTCTTGAATCCTAAATGAGATTTATCATTGATTGTGAAAGGAAAAATTTTGAGGGAAAATGTTTATTATAATATATACATGAAGCTATGAGAGCTTTATTTTGTAATAGACGGGAAATTCTTGTAATGAAGTTCCATTTGATTATTTGGAAAATGTTTCTCCTCATATGCCACTTTACCCCAACCAACAAACCATAAATTATTCATAATAAGGTAATTATAAATCATGCTTGTCTGCTGGGGATCTTTGAAGCTATAAAACATGCATAAGGTGGTACATGCTATTTAAAGTAACAAAAATCTTATAAGACATGCATTATTTAATTATGCATAAAAATGTTAATGCCACATGTTGAACATAACATTATTTCTTTAATAGGAAAATTATTGAAAGATGACAATATTGAAATAAATTATCATGGACAAAGCAGTTTAATTGGAAAATAATTATAGATGCAATAAAAAAAAATACCATTACAACAAAATGCAAAGCATTGAAATGTAAGCTTTCATGGCTAATAGATCTTGAATTCTAAGTAAATAGTTAATATCATTTGAAATTGTAATAATCATAAATCAAAATAGTCTTATATTCTTTATTGTTATCATATTCTATATCATAATCTTCTTCATCATCTTTTCCTTCAACCAAATAACTTCCTCATCCTTTTTATGTCTCCTATATTGAACAAAATAAGATACTATATTTTCATTTTGTATTATGGTCTTCACCTATAAAGCAATAAGTCATAGGGTGCTTCTTTTTTTTATAGAGGTTTGAACCTTGGACCTTTACTTCGGAATTAAAGATGATGTCACTTAACCAAGTGGTGATATATGTTATTTTTTACTATTGATTGGTGTGGGTGAACCAAGTGTATGTAACTCCTCTTAATGCATGATTTGTTGAGGGGTTGATGTGTGCACTCATACCCTTGCATTGGATTTGATGTTATAATTGTATTGATAAGTATGCCTTAAACTTAGTGGCCTTTTTGACCAGCAACATATAAATATAAAATATCAATGAGTTAGTGCCTATCCATTATTGAATTTGGGGAGAAATTTAACATTTTTTAAAAACATTTCAAATTATTACACATTGTTTATAGCTATATTACGAATCTTTTATTGTACTTCAACAATATTTATATGTAATAATATTTTTTTGATCATTAAAATGACATTTTTAAAATTATATGGTGAAAATTTATAAATAAAACACTAATATGTGCATAATATTGTCAACAACAACAACATCAAGCTTTTATCTCACTATGTGGGGTTGGCTATATGAATCCTTTTCTCCATTTGTTTAATGTTAATAGTCAAATTCTCATTTAAATATAATAAAGAAATGTCATTTCTAATATTTTGTAATCAATTCTTTTTAGGTATACCTCTAACTTTCTCAACATAAGCTAAATTCAATACATCTTCTTTCCTAATCGGGTCATCGGAAGGCTGCCATTTTATATGACCAAATCATATAAGGCCACTTTCTATATCTTATCTTCCACAAGAGCTACTCCAATCTTTTCACGTATTTGCTCATTTCGTATACTGTCTCCAAGAGTAAAGTTACTCTTCCACCTGAGCATCCTCATCTCTACAATACTTAATATTGTGCTTCTCTTTTAATGGCCAACATTTTGCACCCTAAAGCATTGCAGATCTCACCATCATCTTATAGAATTTTCCCTTAAGTTTGAGGTGGAATTTTCTATCACACAACAAGCCTGATGTATTCCTCCATTTCAACCATCCAACTTGAATTATACTAATAATATCTTTATCTATTTCACCATCACTCTGAACAATAGACCCAAGATATCTAAAATGTGCACTATTATTAATGACTTGATTGCCCAAAGTCACAATCTCTCAACTAGATCTATTACTACTAAAATTATACTCCATATATTCGATTTTAGATCTACCCAAACAAAAATCTTTAGACTCTAAGGTTGACCTCCATAATTCAAGTTTAGCTTCAACTCCTATCAACAAGAAAAATATCATCAACAAAAATCATACACTAAGGTACAACCTCTTGCAAATGTTTAGTGAGAAAATCCATGACTAAAGCAAAAATATATGGGCTTAAGATTGATCCTTGATGTAATCCAACAGAAATAGGAAAACACTTGGTCAAACCACCTTGTGTTTGGACACAAATAACAACTCTTGCATACATTATCCTTAAAGCCAAGGTTCTGAAAATCGGACCGGACAACGAACCGGAAAAAGTGAGGTTCACAGTTCAACCAGTATATCCGGGGTCGAACATGATGACGTAATAAATAATAAATATTATTGAAATTTAATAAAATTAACATAATTATATTCTTATCATTCAAAGTATGAGATAAAAAATTAAACTAAAAAAAAAACTATGAAACATAAAACTTATATAATTAAGTAAATGAATTATTTTAAAATCTCACATAAAAGCAAAAAAAAATCTAAATATCATAATCATAAGAATTTACACTCATAAAAATATGATAATTTTAAATTTAAATATTTTTCAAATTTTAAATTTGATTTTTAATATAGACTTTTGAATTTTCTTGTATTAAGAGCTCACATGTAGTGGTGGGCTCATGTGAAGATGTTTAATGATGTTTTGAGGGCAAATGTTTATAATAAAAATTTTATTATAATTTAAGTTAAATGTTTTAAATATATATTAATTTATTTATTTAAAATTTGTGGAATTTGAACCAGCAGGTTCAAAATAACCGGGTCCAATTTATCGGTTCGCGGTTGAACCGACGGTTTTGACAGGTTCAGTCCGGTTCGATGTAGAAGCGGTTTTAAGACTGAATCAGACCGGTCTTGTGACCGGTTCATGGTTGAACCGGTCAAACCGGGATCAGTTTTTAAAACATTGATAAAGCTGATCCAATAATATTGTCAACATCAAAATATTAAAAATTACAATGTGAAAATTTATGGTATACTTGTATTTGTATCAAAATTTTAATTAAAATATAAAAAATCTGAAAAATTATGAATGATTAAAAACTATGATAGAAAAAATTTAACCCATCTCAATTCAGATAGTTTTTTGAATTACCCCAACAAGCGAAAATAACCTGAAGCAACTTGAAATGAACTTTCTTTCACTAGAAAATTTTCTCTCTCTAGCTTGGTTGCTCAAGGAAATGAAATTAATTTGATTTTGGGAAAACTTAGTGAAAATTGATATTTATTAACAATTTTGTCTTAGTACCGGGACGTTTAAAGAGCCAGCGTCACAACGCTCCCTTCAGGAACCCTATCAAATAGAAATGCCTAGACCTCATGCTGCAGTGTCCTTGATCATAAATAGCACCCAATCGCTGCACCTCAGCGCCACAACATCGTAATTAAATACTAGAAAAGTAGAGAACTTAGCGTTGCCTTCAATGCTGTGAAGCTTCGAAGAAATATTTTGAAAATTCAGATCTTTCACACAGACCCATTGGATATGTAATATCCAAAATCTAGGTTAATAAAATAAAATTATATTTAGAAAATTATTATTTAATATTAGCAATTATTATTGTTAATTAAATAAATTCAATTTAATTATAATTCTTCCCTAATTCTGATTAGATGCATCTATTGGCATTAGAGGAGTTATAAGAGCAGTTGTTGTGGTGGGCCCTCTCTTCCAATAAGTTACGCAGGCTAGAAATTTCTGTAAGCAAGCATTGGAAATACTGTAGTTGGAATTGGCACAATAGAGTGCTTAGTGAGGAATTCGGCATAGTGCATCGGAGGAATTCGACACAGTGTTTATGAGGAATTCGGCACAGTGCTTAGAAGAAGGATTCAACGCAGTGCTTCGAATAGGATTTAGCATAGTGCATTGAAGAAGGGCTCTACATAGTGCAGGTAGTAATTTTAACAGAAGTTTTTATGTTTTTATTTTTAGTAATAGAAATTGGTTGATATTGAAGTGTTTATTTTTTGCCTTAAGGGTAGGATCTATATTCGGTAGAGAAAGTGCTAAATGCAAACAGAAGATCAGAGAAGAGTACATATTTGGTAGGCTTTGGGAGCAGGAATTTCAATAAAGAATTCCAGTTAAAAAAGAATACTAGAGAAATTGAGGAAAGTAGAAGTTAAAGTTAGTGAATTGCTTTTATTGCGATGTTATTGTTGTTTTGTAAACTTGCCTAATATTAGTAAAAGTTATTAAAAGAAAAAAGTAAATAAATTATGTAGGAATTTATCTGGTATATGAGGAGCAGGGAATCTTGTTATAAGGTAAGCTATATTTATGCAAATTACTAGAAGTATGATTAATGGAAGTTATAGAAAATTTAGAAGGGAATTATTTAGGTTACTTACAATTGCAGAAGGGTAAGAGGT